AGAGAGAGAGAGAGAGAGAGAGAGAGAGAGAGAGAGAGAGAGACTGACGATTTATTTTAAAGGGACACTACTGTGGCCATAACTATTCATTTACTTTCTTTTCTTGGTTATTTCCCTTGACTAATACTACACCAATACAGACCACCTGAGAGGTATAGTAAGTGTTATACAGGCCTAAGGAAGTACAGCCACGCTTGTTGTTACTTGGACATCCACATTCTGTCTGTATGTTTTTTTTTCTTTGTTTTTGCTTTGTTTTGTTTTTTTGTTTTTGTTTTTTTTGGTAAATGTTTCGGCGTTCGCAACCGCGTACGGTTATATGAGCGCGCTGGACACATTAAACATTAATTTCAGTTTGTACGAAATTATGGATTTTGCCCAGGTGGCGGCTGAAGCCTACTCTTATCGATTTTGGACCACCCAGGGATCTTAAACGTGCCCAACCTGCACACGCAACCTCCGAGATTTTTCGCCCTTAATCGGTGAAGGCTCGGTGTTAGATCTTATGTATTGTAAGATCAGAGGTGTGGCTGAAAGACAGCGGTAAAAAGGAGCTAAGAAGTAGCAGTAAAAGGGCTGCAGAAAGAGTCAGGAGCCCAGAGGAAGGAGCAAAGAAAACGAGGAGGCAAAGAAAATGAAAGGGAGGGGGCAAAGAGTGGAGACGAAAGCAGACGACAGACATTGTTAGAGAGCAGGAAAGGAGATGGAAACAAGAACATTTTTCGTCGCTGTCCGGATTCGAACCCTGGACCTTTTGAATGAGAGGTGAACACCGTAACCGCGAGACCACGAGACACCATTCTGTACTCTTCTCCATGAATATGAGTTATACCACTCGGATAAATTCGTGGGAGGTTGGCGGCTGCCCTGCTGTGGTTTGTTCCTTTTTTCCCTTTTAAATATCTATCGTTCTCATCTTGTATGAATATACAATCGTACGTATGTTTGCCATTGTAAACCAAATTGCCCTTCTGGGATCAGTAAGACGGCAATTTATTATTTTTTATGTTTTTAATTATTCTTTTAATTATTTGCTTTTTATTATTTATTTTTGTTATGTATTTTTAAATTATTTCTTTTTTGGTATTTATTTTATTCGTCTTTTTCTATTATTTTATTATTTTTAATTGTTTATTTTCTATTATTTGTTTTTTTTTAAATTGTTTTTGTATTGTTGTTACTTTCTTATTAGATCTATTTATTTATCCTTTTTTTCCTAATGACTTTTTGAAATAATTTGTTTTTGATAATTTGTTTGTTTTTGATAATTTGTTTTTTTATAGTTCATTTTTAATGATGCTTTATTGCTGTTTTTTTATATTTATTTATTTTCTTTATATTTATTTATTTTTACGTCGGTTTTATGTCACTCCGGCAGGCGTTTGGCTGCTTCCTGGCCTGGGAGACGCGTCACGTGAGCATCCCGGCCCTAAACGACTCCAAGTACATCGGCATGTCCGTCTACAACGTAGTCATCATGTGTGTCTGTGGCGCCGCCGTCTCTTTCATCATCCAGCACCAGCCCACGCAGAGCTTCATCATCATCGGACTCTTCATCATCTTCTGCACCACCATCACCCTGTGCCTTGTCTTCCTGCCAAAGGTAAAAAGGCTGGGGTGAGGGGGGGGTGTTGAAAGGTTCGGGGCGGAGTAGGGGGGGTAGGGGTAGGGGGTGGTAAGTTGGGTGAGGAAGGGGGGGTGAGGGGGATGGTGTTGGTTCTTGGTTACTTCCCTTGAATAATACTGCACCGAGACCAAAGAGGTTAAATGGTCGCTTTTAAGCACAAGGGGGCTATCCTGATAAATGCTGTATTCTTGTTTGAAATTCGAAGTTATAGTTTTTTTAATCCTTATTCAGTCTCTTTAAAAGACAAGAAGAGTTTTCTCTGTAACCAAACAAATATACACAACAATGAAACCAAACTTCTCCTACAGGTAGGGCAAAGCCTACTTTTGGTGTAGGTCAAGATTTCTGGAAGCCCCCGAAATCTGGGTTAGCCCGCTTATCCTTAAAAGCGACCCTATTGTATTATAATACTGGAGCTCACGGCGATGACATCACACTTGTGGCACAATTTGGGTGAAGATGGTAGGAAGGAATCTTGATTTGTTCATCGTTAATTTTTTGTTGCTGGAGGGTGGGGGAGGGGGGAGTGGTTAACTTTAACTCTTTAAGAACGTATCGGACACACGTGTCAGATCACTCAGCAACAGGCTAAAGGCAATGTTGCTGTACATTTCCAACCATTGTACACAAATCAGATAGGTAAAATTTGCGAGTTTCAAAATAGTATGAGTGTTGTTGAATACCTTTTAAAAAAAAAGCTTTAGATAAAGAAAGCAGAATTGAAAAATCGACTTGAGTAATGAACTTACGATGAAAAAAGCACATCATCATCACCACCACCACTTCTACCACGGTGGCGTCGGTGGCCTAGTGGTTAGGCTACCGGACTCGTAATCGTGAGATTGCGGTTTTCGGGGGTTCGAGCCTCAGCTGGGTCCGACGTTGTGTCCTTTAGAAAGGCACCTCACACGAGTTTCCCACTTGACTCGGTCCTTTCGGAGACGGACGTTAAACCAGGTGGCCCCGCCTCTTAAACAACCTAATAGTGTTGATAGGGGCGTTAAACCGATACCATTTCATACTCTAAGGGGTTTTTCCTCGTTATCACCATCACCACCGCCACAACCACCATCTTTACAAACACCACCATCACCATCCTTACAGCAGCCACCACTTCTACCAACATCACCACAACTTCTACCACCACCACTTTTACCACCTCTTCTTCCACCCCTTCTACCACCATCACCACCGCCATCATCACCACTACCAACACCTTCACCAACTACTACCACCGTCACCACCACTTCTACTACCACCATCTTCCCCACCTCCACCACCACCACCACCATCTTCGCAACCACCACCACCATCACCATCACCACCACCACCATCACCATAATCA